CTATTTCTGTTATATTTGATTCTCGTGGCAGGGTTCTGGAGGAATTACCATAAAGAAGACTGGTCAAGCTCTAGTTTTTGGCCTCTATGAAGAACCTGTTACTCCAGGACAGTGCAACATGGTCGTTGAGAGGCTGGGCGATTACCTCGTCGATCAGGGTCTGTAGGCTTTTTAAGTCCATCTCGGTTCCAAGTACCGAATTTGGGCCTACAAATTATTCTTTTTCAAATTTTCTTTTCTTTTTCTTATTTCCTTTTATGTTTGTTTGGTTTCAAGTTTGCAATATGCTTCTATCTCATGCCTCAAAATTGGCAGAGGAGTTAATGCAGACAATAACCTCCTGAAAGATATTAACAGTATTTTCATGAAATAACCGTTTACTCTTCTTTTCTCCCATTTTATTCCTTTACTTGAAGTTTGTTTTTTTATTTCCAAATGAAATTGCAAACAGGTGATGTGGGCCATGCTCTTGATTTGTGACAGGTGAGAAAATGAAATGCTTTTTATTTTTTATTTTTTTGATGCCTGTCAATAGATAGATAGATATTAAATCCCTATCTGAAAGCAGGAACCTAATAAAATATTACATTATTCAAAGATTAGGACTCTCTTTTGGATGGTTTTGTATTGAAATGTCCAGTTTGACTTTATATCAACGTTATTAATTTATATTGAAATATAGGTTAAATTGTTCGCTCGATACATTATTGAAAATTTAGAACACAAATTTGAAGGTCAAATTTGTAATTTAACTTGGTTAATTTGGTTTTTTTTCTTCATAATGTAGTGGAAAAAGATTTTCATTGGTGCACACAAAGATTTTTGCTATGCCCCCCCTCACAATTGCTATTTATCAAAATAACTCAGAGATTCCTTTGCTTTTGAAAAGGTATTCTTTTGAAATGGTCTATTGCTTAAAGAGGATGACCTCTTTATCTTTTCTTTTTTATTTGGACCAAATAATTTTTGCAACCAATTTCAAAAGAATATTTATTAATATTCAAATCCAATTAAATTATTCCCGGTTACATTTTTTTTTTCAATTCAACAGATTCTATATAAAACGAAATTTTGTAAATAATACTAATAAATAAGCGATAATATAATTATAAAATTTAATATTTTAACATAATATTATGGTCATATATTCAAACAAGACGTGCCTGGCTTTAAAAAAAGATTAAAATTAAAAATATATTAATGTAAACAATTTGCAAAAAAGAAACAGGGCATTAATGTAATTTCCTATGGAGGGATCGCAATTATTTTGGGAAAAATATTTATACCTGCGTGACATCGACGCTATCTCGGGCGAAACTGCGGTGAAGAGCACAGGGAGGAGATTATATTTGGAGCTCATTTCGTCGGTGGTGATAAATTGTATCCCCTCTCACTCGATTCAACGCAGAAACGAGCGAGCAAGGAAGGGAAAAAAAAAAAAAAAAAAAAACTCTTCAGAGATCGAACCAGAAGAAAGAGGAAGAAGAAGCGGAGAACGATGTCGTGGAGTGTTTACGTCGATGATCATCTTATGTGCGACATTGAGGGCAATCACCTCACATCTGCGGCCATTATCGGCCATGACGGCAGCGTTTGGGCCCAAAGCAATACTTTCCCTCAGGTTTACTATCTCTCTCTCTCTCTTTTTGGAAACTTGAAATCCGATTATTGATTTGATTGCTTGCTCGAAATCCATGGCTGGATCTGTCTGGGTTTTTAACTCAAAGTCTAATGGTTGAGACGAGCTTGACAATGATGATGGATTTTATTGGGAATGATTTGATCTGATTGATTTTAAGGTCTATGCATTACATCGTGAATCTCTAGTTTTAAATCGGTTTTCGGAGTAATTAGTTTAGTTTTGTTCAATGTGATTAAAATTAGAATCTGTTTTTTTTTCATTGTTTCTGTTTACGTCGGTTCAGTGAAGATCTGGAGTTTCTGATTTCCTTCATCTAGGCTTCTAGATTTACTTCTAAGCATTTCGATTCTATTCTCACATATTTTGACCTTCGATTTGAGAAGGAAAATTGATTCGTTGCTCGTGAGAAATAATTTGTTAGTCTATTGCGTTGCATCTCTCTTTAGGCAGTGTTGGTGATTGAAATCGCATTGTATCATTAATGGAATTTTTAGAAGTCAAGGTGTTGGTTCATATAACTTTCCTGGTTTCCTGAAGACTTCATGGCGACCTCAATGCATGTTCTTGTTTTTTTATTTGCAGTTCAAGCCTGATGAAATTACTGCCATCATGAATGACTTCAATGAACCCGGGGTGCTTGCTCCAACTGGTTTGTACCTTGGTGGTGCAAAATATATGGTAATCCAAGGGGAGCCTGGATATGTTATTCGTGGGAAGAAGGTGATGAACTCTTATTGTAGAATTAATACTTTCTGCTGTGTGTTGTGATCTTAGAAATATGCATGCAAACAATTTATTCTGAAAATGTTCTAAAAAAACAAGTTTACTAGTTGAATCTGAACATAAGAACCTTCATCCTAGCTTAGTTTTCTAATTGGTCAGAGCAAGATAGTTACATTCTGCAGCATAATCTTGTATAATTTTTACTCTCGGGCACTGATGCTCTGTTCTATTGGTGAGATGTCTTTGTTGTTTAATTATTCAAATTACAGTTCTTACTTTCCATTGAAATTTGAACCAATCATCTCCTAATTTCAGGGCCCAGGTGGGGTTACTGTTAAGAAGACTGGTATGGCTCTAATCGTTGGCATCTATGATGAACCGATGACTCCCGGTCAGTGCAATATGATTGTTGAAAGGCTTGGAGATTATCTCATCGAACAGGGTCTCTAAATATCAGTATGTTTGCTACCTTCTTACACTCGATTCGTGTTCTTCATATATTTGCATCCATTTTTCTCTCATTGCTGATACAATTTTTTTGGATTGTTAATTTCAGGGAAACCGTATTGTTTTTTTAATAGTCTATGGACTCTTGAGTGGAGATGGGTTTGATGCTTGAGGATTGATGCTTGTGTTTCTCGTTATTAGTGTTGTCTCTTTCACCTTTTACCTTGAAATATTGTGGTGGTTTTCAAGTGAGGTCTATGTCGTAGTTACAGTGACTTCGAAATGTATGTTGTAAACCAATCAGCATAAATTTATAAATACCCTTTCATTTTATCCGTTGATTTTTGCATCTGGCTTCTGTATAACATGAGGAGGAGATAATAGTTTTACAGTACTTGCTCAATTATTACTTTCATTCTCTTTCCTTTTCTTCTTAATTATTACTTTTACAGTACTTGGTTTAGTTTCTTTCCAGTCTCTGGCAAGTTCCAAGATTCAGTATCAGTGAAAAATTAGATAAGAATTAAGTGGGTCTCGGCCAAAATCCAAAGGTGGGACACATGAAGGACTTTCGGGAAGGGTGTGATTTTATAGTTAGTGTGAAAGAATGATATCTGTTTGTGACATAAATGAGTGGGTCTTCACTTTTTAGAGAAGAAATCATTGAAGAGAATGACCACATCAATGAGGGAGAATCTTGCAAGCACATTAGAAGAAAGTAGATCGGACCCCTCTTGAGAAGTGAGTGGAACAGGTTGTCCATTAAGCCAACCTAACAAGAAGAGAAGAGAAAGTGGTTAATGCAGTCATGCTAGATGGTTAAGTAACCTAAACTTGAGTTTATGTGACTGCATGAAGGCATGAAAACATATCAAGAGTTGAGTTTAATGAGTTTAAGTGACTTTAGTAGATACGTATTATAAAGGCGGGTGATACATGCACTCGTGTGGTGCTTCCTTTAGGTTAAGGTGGGTTTAAGTGAGCAACCCTTATCGTGTGGTGCTTCCTTTAGGTCAAGGTGGGTTTAAGTGAGCAACCCTTATCGTGTGGTGCTTCCTTTAGGTCAAGGTGGGTTTAAGTGAGCAACCCTTATCGTGTGGTGCTTCCTTTAGGTCAAGGTGGGTTTAAGTGAGCAACCCTTATCGTGTGGTGCTTCCTTTAGGTCAAGGTGGGTTTAAGTGAGCAACCCTTATCGTGTGGTGCTTCCTTTAGGTCAAGGTGGGTTTAAGTGAGCAACCCTTATCGTGTGGTGCTTCCTTTAGGTCAAGGTGGATCTAAGTGAGCAACCCTTATCGTGTGGTGCTTAAACAAGATCATTCTAGACAAAAAGATTTTTTGTGAGTGACTTTTAATAAAACTTCTTAGATTGACAAAGTTGGTGTCGGATTACTTTCCAACTAGCTAAAGGTTCTAAACGTGAGCGTATCTCAAACAACTGTTTAAAAGTGGGATAACATAAAATTATAGTAAAGCTCAAATAGTTCATCACATGTACTTGCGGGTTAGCTATCGGTACCCATGACTTTTAGGTAAGAAAACTGAAAGGTCATCACCACGGCATGAGTTAGATGAGACATGATATGTTGTCTATCTTTGCTTAGGGAGGAGACAAGAGTAGATAGAGTCCCATTCTACATGTCAATACCGACAAAAATGAAATTTATAGTAAGAGGGTTCAAGTCCCTCTGTCCCCAAAACCCTAAAAAGGCCCGTTGGCCTCTTTAATTATTTATCCTTTCAGTAGCAATTCACAATTCGTTATGTTTCTTCTTCATTCAACTCTTTCACAAGCCTATTTGAGCGGAAATTGGATTTCTTATCAGGTTCATTGACGAAATGGGATACACAATTTAGAAGTATCAAAATACCTTCTAATTTCTAATGAAATGGGCACAAGATTTGATTGAGAAATTATTGATATTTTTTAAAATTGAGTCAATATTTATAGCCATACTAAATTATTTATTATACATTAGTATATTGTTATTTTTATTTATTTAAAAATGGCCCAATCAATGGCAGTTTTTAAAATTACTACGAACTCTAACCCTTGCAGCTCTCCCGCTTTAAACCTCATCTATCTGCAACGGATGCCCAATCCGGTTTGATCGATTCGATTTCACTGCATCGGTTCGGTTCGATTCAAACTCCATGGACCGAACCATATATATATATATCCCGTAACGGCTATAATGTGACGCGCTCCTCATAGTTTGAATTTAATTCATTCATTTTTTCGCTGCTTTGACGAAGCAGATCGTCGCCTTCTTCACAGAGAAAAGGGGAAGAACCTCAATCGCACGTTTGTCCTCTCATTCTCTTCTTCCAATCTCCTCTATCTGTCTCTTTTAGTTCCTCATCCGCTATTGAAACCCTAGGAATTTGATAAAGACAACATAAAAGATGAAGACCAAGACGCCATTGAAGCAGCTCAAGCTCTCTGTTCCCGCTCAAGAAACTTCTATCCGTTCTTTTCTGTAAGTTCGAATAATTTGTCTCTTGCTCTCGACTTAATCCTGATCGTTTGTTCTTCGTTTTAAGTGTTCGTTTCGTTTCAGTTCCTTGTAGCTACTATCTGATTGATCCGGTAAAAATATGCTTTCGTGTGTTTTTCAGTGGAGGTTCGATCGAGTTGTAGTCGTAGTTTCTTGGAAATTAACGCTGTAACGAAGAAAAAGATTTTTTTAAGTGTGGCGAACTTATCTGTTGTTGAGTGAATAAATTCAAATGACTTGTTTTATTGTTGTACTATCCATTTCAAGTATTTCAAATTTCAGGAAGGGCAAAGGACATGATCTGTTCGATTTATTTTCTTTTTCGGTTTTTGTTGTCCGTTTTCCTTATTTCCGCTTCATCCTCTTTCTGATTTTGTTAAACTTCAGAACTGCGAGCGGAACATTTCACGATGGCAATCTGCTTTTGAACCAGAAAGGATTGCGGCTTGTATCTGAAGAGAAAGAAACGCAGGTAAGTTCGTTTTAAGTTTTTGATGTATATCAATGTAATCGGAATTAGTGAAAACCCGCCAAACCTAGCCATCCGTGTGATTTACATTCACATTAGATGCACGATTCCACTGTTGTTCCATCCTAGGTTCCTTGATATGCATATGAATTGTAATCACTTTTTCCTTTTCTTTAATTTTATTTGATCAGACTTCAGACTGCAAGGAGGTTGATGTCGATTTCTCATTGGAGGATCTAGAGACTGTGAAAGTCATCGGGAAAGGAAGTGGAGGTGTAGTACAACTTGTTCAACACAAATGGGTTGGAAAACTTTTTGCCTTAAAGGTTGTTATATTGCTGGAACAAGGCTACACTATCGCATTTGTTTTTGGTCATTATACCTTTGTTTTCAAGTTACTTGCACATTTTGTTCCGTCATTTTATTATGGCTTTATATTAGTTGAAGAATCTGCTGCTGCTGTTGCTGCTGTAAGCTAGCAGTTCTTGATCTTTACATATAAATGTGGAGCTTGCTAGTAAACTACTATTACATTCATTTAGCTTTGAGAATAATTTCAATTTTCCTTTTCCAAAACCAGTAGGGGTTGGTCTCGGTTTACAAAATATTATTGAAGTCGAGAGTTCTTAATGAAATGTATGGCAGTGAACTAGTTTTATCCTTTTGATATATGAAATATAATAACTCAACGAGCTTTGCTAATAAAGTGAAGGCAAGATCTGGCAATGCCTCAGTGGAGACTGGCCATAGGAATATCTATTCATTGTTATGATTATTTGTATAATATGATAGGATTATGCTTGGTGTTGATTGATGGTTTTATTTGTTTCATGTCTTCTTTAAGCTAAAAATAAACTACCACCGTCAAAATAGTGGCACAATTAACTTGTCATCCTGTTTGTAAGTTTTTCAAATTCTGAAACCATGCTAACTTTTTTATTTTGGTCATCTTAGGTCTATTTTGGTAAAAAATAGTGGCTTGTTTATCTAAACTCCATAGTCTTGAGGATTTCAGTCTGTTTAGGCCTCCATACTTGGGCTATTTAGGCTTTTGTACAAATTATATAACTCTGCTGAAAAATCTTTTCTGCCTTATGCTTCAGGTGATCCAAATGAACATACAAGAGGATATCCGTAAACAGATAGTGCAGGAACTGAAAATAAACCAAGCAGCACAATGTCCACATATTGTGGTCTGCCACCATTCTTTCTACCACAATGGTGCCATTTCTCTTGTGCTAGAATACATGGATCGTGGTTCTTTAGCTGATGTTGTCAGACAAGTCAAGACAATTCTTGAACCATATCTTGCAGTTGTTTGCAAACAGGTCTCAGGATTCTGTCAATAAAAAACTAAATGAAAAGGTTAAGTTTTCCCTCATGCTCACTCACTTCATAATTCCAGGTTTTACAAGGTCTTGTTTACTTGCATCATGAGAGACATGTTATACACAGAGACATCAAGCCATCCAATCTACTTGTGAACCATAAAGGGGATGTCAAAATCACTGATTTTGGAGTAAGTGCAATGCTTGCAAGTTCTATGGGTCAGAGAGATACATTTGTTGGGACTTACAATTACATGTCGGTATGTGAAATCAAAATCACTGATTGATTTTATGCAGATTGTTTATATTTGATATGAAGCATGAAATTCTTGTATTTTCTTCCCTTTCAGCCTGAGCGAATTAGCGGGGGAACATATGACTACAGCAGTGATATATGGAGCTTGGGTCTGGTAGTACTTGAATGTGCCATTGGAAGGTTTCCTTATTTGCAGTCTGAAGAGCAGCAAAGTTGGCCAAGCTTTTATGAACTTTTAGAGGCCATTGTAGCAAAGCCACCGCCTTCTGCTCCATCGGATCAATTTTCCCCCGAGTTCTGTTCATTCGTATCTGCTTGGTAATGATTTTTCTTTCTGCTTTTCCCGTCTTGGTTAATTAAACAGCAATTCAAGTTTAAACATTTCATTATAATTACAATTGTGCAGCATTAAGAAGGACCCTAAAGAAAGATCATCTTCATTAGATCTTCTGGTTGGTAACCTTTGTTTTCTCCTTCAATTTATTATTGGCAATCATAGTCTCCTTAAACAATTCTCTTTGTGCTTCTAGAATCACCCTTTCATCAAGAAATTCGAGGACAAAGACATCGATGTTGGGATTCTCGTTGGCAGCTTGGATCCTCCTGTAAGTTTTCCTAGATAATAATCTTTAAACATTTACTTTTACTGTAATATGTTAGAAAATTTACTATCCCTTTACCTCGTGTAACATGGAACAAGAAAATATAAGACTTAATGAACAAATTTCCTGGAAAGGTATTCTCTGTTCAAACACCATCAGAACCCTAATTCTCAACTGTACAAAATTGTTGTTTGATAATTATTAACATAAAATTTATCTTTATTATTGTTTAGAACTAGAAAACTATGTAGGAAAATATTATTCAAACATTAAAACATGTCACAATCGTATGTTTGAATATTTCTCACCAAAATATTGTTGAATTCTAAAAGGAATAGATAATATTTATAAAATGATTTTATTTTCATTCTCTCTCATAGCTGTTATTCTTAGCCACAAAATCCAATCTGGCTTCAAAAGTAGCAACATCTCAAGCCATTAGAACATCGTGGAAAAAGTCCTTTTAGCTACATTTTTTCTTCCATAGGAATCTATATTTCTTATCACACTTCCATTTTCCAAGCCCAGTTCTATGGTAGGAAATATATGTGGGAATGGGAATATCATCTCTATCTAGAATTTGATTCCAATTGCTTGCGTCAGTTCGAACTATTTGAATTATATATTTTTTTATTCTATTATTTTGGGAATGTCAACTAGATCCTTTGATTTTTTTTTTTTTTTTTTTTGGGTTAAAAATGTGGTTGAAATTGACTTTATAAGTGCACCGATAATACTAATTGTTTAATCAAAATCAGTCTAATACTCGAAAAAGTTTAATAAACTATCGAAATCAAACTTAGTTTCCGTAGAGGAAATGAATTATTTGGGCTTTTAATTGAGTATTATATTTTATTTTGTAGAATGTGGGATTTATTTAAGCCTATGGGATTTCTACCAAGTGTACATGAAAAGGAGGGTTTTTTTTTTTAAAAAAAAAAATTATATATACATATTCTTCCTTCTAATTTCTTATTAATTGATCTAATTCCTTCTCATTTTTCATTTTCATCTCTGTTAAAAAGTTGGTATTTATAATAAAACATCCAATGGGGAACAAAAATACCAAGCTACCTAATCTTTCTTTTTTAAGGCTTATTTTATTGGATGCCCTTGATTTATTGAACTTTTTCGAGTATTGGATTCATTGAAGGCAACACATGGTGTAGTTGCCAATAGAAAGAAAAGATTGAAGACCATAGAAATGGGGAGAGATTTGATTTCTGTGGGCATATGGTTGTTGGTATGGATAGATCTCTCACAGGCATGTATGGTGCTAATTTAAATGGCAATCACATTTGGCACACCAATCATGACATTTGATGCCCTTAGTCAAACCTCCTTATCCTTTTTCTTCCTTACCCAAAACCATCACTCTAAAAGGGTATATTTGGAAATCCAATTATAAAACTTCCTACCTAAATAAGTTCACAGGTAATTTATGGCTATTTTTCAGAAAAGTTCTTGATTTAACGTTGATCATTTTTATGTTCGATGAAATAGGAATTCGAATTGATTTGTAGATTCATATTTGAGATTTTTCGATCGTATTTCGATTTCATAATTTGAATATATGACTTGACTTAGTTTTAGATAACTTAAAATTTAATTGAATTGTTGTTTTTTTATATCCATATTTAAACATCGACATTTCTTATTTTTGACTGTGGGTGAATTTTAAATGTATATATAAGGTAGTAGGTAAATGTTTAGAATAAATTTATGTCTAAACAAGAAATAAATGTACATATACATTTTTTATTTAACCAATGTTGGAAGGGCCTAGACGGATTTGGTCATCTCTATCATTTTCAAGCTAAGTTGACAATTGAGAAGACCAAATCTGCATTATTAGATAATAGGTCAGCATTTTATATAAATACCAAATAAGTGATGGGATGCCGATAACTGTTCATTAATTGAAGTATATCCTATGTTTTTTTTGCTACATTTAAAATTAATTAGCATACCAAATAAAATTAAATTTTATGACGTCATTAGATGTACCTTTTTTCTCTTGTAAAATAATTATATCCAACCAAAAGAGGCAGGAAAGAAATGATACCACTATGACTGCAAAAACTATGGGTTATATACTCAAAGGATATGCTTTAGACAACTTATCTTCAATAAGTTGATTTTCTTCCAAATAAAAAATAGTTTCTTTTCTTTAATTTTGTTAAAGTTGTGTATTTTTTATTTATTTATTGATATAAGATTATGGTACTTAAGAATTCATCGATTTAGTCTTTAAATATTGAATTTGTGTGCATTTGGTTCATCGATTGAACAAAAAAAATTATTGAACCAATTTAGATTAATGGATCGAAATGAAAGATAAAATGAATATAGAGTTGAGAAGTGATCTGAAATTGAAGACAAGAATTTGGCTTCTCTCTAATTATAGTTTTTGTTAAAAAAAAAAAAAAGTTTATTAACTAGAAAAAATTAAATAACAAGAAGATTCATTTCTTGTTAGGGTAAACATAATCTTTATAAACTAATGATTTAATCAATAATTTAGGTTATCTTTAAGCTCTCCTAATTGGATGGTGCAATAGAAGACATGAAAGAGTGTAAAATTTGTCAATGCTTTAAGAGGCAAAGTAGGCGAAGATGTTGACATTAGTTTTTCGGCCCTTAAGGATCGAAAAAGGGAGGATGACTCAGATTTGGATGTCTTCAAATTTAGACCTTATCCTCTTTTTTTTTCTTGTAATATGGAAAAGCTAATCAATTTGGTACCATAAATACTATACACAATCTCCCAAAATTCTATCATTATTAAAATATTTGCATTTCTGTCTATGGTGATCCTACTCACCCTTCTTATTAAATATTCCAAACCCACATAAAAGAATCATTTTTTGGTCAATGCCCTTCCATTGCTTCCATTTTTAAGCTCCTTCCCCATTCCTTCTCTTCCAATCCTCTTCTTCTTTGGACATGGACATGGGTGGCAAAGACATGATTGAAGCTTTTGAAGCTTATAAAGCTATGGAGTTGCAAGAACTTAGTTTAGTGATGGTGGAAACCCGAGAAGATGATGTTTGTGAAGCTTCTATTTCGACTGAGAACTCGATCAGTTCATTCGAATCCTTTTCATCAGAATTGTTGGAAGATGCATCGTCTACTTCAACTTCAAATCTCTCATTATCGTCATTGTCTTCATCGCAGTCAAGTGGACCTCTCTATGAACTTTCCGAGCTCATGGACAATCTCCCCATCAAGTAAGAAGATACAACAAAACCCCTTTTTTTTTTCTTTTTTTTTTTAAGAAAAAGAAAAGGAATGATAAACTAATAACCCTTTTAATTAACTTGGCTTTTCCAGGAGAGGACTATCAAAATTCTACAATGGAAAATCACAATCTTTTACATCTCTAGCAAGTGCAAAGAGCTTGGAAGATCTTGCAAAGAAAGTGAATAATAATAATAATATTACTTCTCAAAAGAAAAAGATGAAGTGTTGTAAGAGCTATGGAGGAGGCTTAGATGCTCAAAGATCTTATTCTCCAAAGCCTTTGATTGCTAAAAAGGCTTCAAAGAGACGTAGTAGATTATTTGTCAGCCATTGATGTTCGATGCTTGTTCCTCTTCCTTTTTCTCACAGACTTTTGTGTACGTTTTTGAGGCAAAAATTATGTTTGTTCTAACGTTAATGATCGAGGGTTCGGAATCCTTTGAGAAAAGAAGAAGAAGAATGATCGATAGACGTTTATGGAGTGAAAGAGAGTTCAAACTTTTGTCGGATCCTTTTGGGTCAATCAATCTACTTTAACCCACGATCGATAGACATTTAGCTTGAGTTAACAAATCGTTATCGTTATAGTTTGATTCATTGACAAAATTTTTATATAAGATACTATTTGTAGCAGTACTGATATGAACTCAAAAGTATGTTATTACCTATAAAAACAATCGAAATATCCCAATAAATTGGAATTTGAACTTCATATTTGATTATGTCGGTTCTCTCTTATTATGATATGAAATTTAATGGGTTTTCAATTATTGGGCCATTCAGAAAAAGCCCAATTATTAATGGGCCAATAAGAGCAAGTTCAGAAGGATTCCTAGATTGGGCCGGACTATTTCGGCCTTATTGGGCTTTCAGCCCGTGACGAAGTACTTCATTTCGGCCCAAATAAACCCCTAGGCCCATTTCTCGAAGATTGTTTTGAGTACGTTATGTTTTAGTGGTTTTTAAAACAATTTTTATTTTTTTTAGAAAATATAGATTAGAATATAATAATATATATATATATATATATATATATATATATATTTTTTTTTTTTTTTACTCCAACAAGAGATTCAAACATCATGACAATCCTAACAAAAAATCCAAGAGATTTGTGTGGGCAACACAATATTTGGTCATTTCAAAATAAAAACATTTTCTAAGCCATATCCCATTAAAATATATTAAATTAGTATCGCTTTTTAGGATTTTGGCAATGATTGCACATCAAATTGACCCACCATTTTTTCCCTATGCTTTGTCTTTTATTTCTTCGCCAATAAAATAAAATAAATAAAAATAAAAAATAAATATATCTTTATTTATGATAATCATCTTTAAAATAAAATTTTAAGAATCAAAACCGGATAGAAATTAAAGTATATAGATTAAGAAGTAAAAAAAACATATTGAAGACACCGACAATATTAACCTAATATTACACAAATCTTATCCGTTTGAACTTGAATTTGTCGTTTCTAGGTCGATCTAGAGAATGTATTAGACTTATTGGTCGTGTTTTTCCAACCCGACTAAGAAATGCACACAAATTAAGGTTTGACTTTTGTGTTTGTTGTGAGATAAAGGTTTTATATGTTAAGTGGTGATAATGTGTTCTTTTCTTCTTCTTTTCTTTTTTGACTTTTGTCCTTATTCAATTTGACCTCTCTTTTAAGTATTTGACCCTTTTATTATGTTTTTAATTAAAAAATGGTGCGAACGTCAATTTTATTTTCAATCATTGCAACGGCCCGACCTTTCAAATCAATCAAAGGTTCCCTTAAAACATAACATGTTTCTATGTAAAATTTTTGGGATTCTTAATGTAACATGTTTTTCTAATAAATTAACTCGTTACATTTATTTCTAAATAGTAACGACCCTTTGATTGATTTGAAAGACATGGTCATTACAAATGTCACGGATGATTAGTCAACAAGGCCTTTAAAGAACTAATGGAAAATCTATTTTCCATTATGTTTATGTTAATATAAACTCATTACAGTGGAGGTAGTTAATGATTTTTAGTCGATGTTTTGACTAGTAATTTTTCAAACACCCCATTACTTTTCATTTCTATGGGGACCTACCTCGAACGGAGATAGGATTACCTCTTTAGTCAGAGAATGATGGAGAAAATGTGAAACATTTTATTTTATAAACGGTGTTGAGGATTGTTGGAAGAGGAGTCCCACATTAGCTAATTAAGGGGTAGATCATGAGTTTATAAGTAAGGAATACATATTCATTGTTATGAGACGTTTTGGAAAACCAAAAGCAAACCCATGAGAGCATACTGAAAGTGAAGGTTGTTCGAGGGCTCCATAGGCCTCGAGGAGGCTCTATGGTGTACTTTGTTCGAGGGCTCCATAGGTCTCAGGGAGTCTCCATGAGTAGAAATATAAATAAGTAGATAGTACTATCTTAACGATCAAAAGATCAAAACCGACAACGATCTAGAGACCTTCACGAACCCTACTCAACGTGCAACATCTTATAGACGTAGACATAGACCTAAAAGCTGAAAGCTTATAATATAAAAACACTTTCCAAAGCGGATTACACAAAGAACAAAGTTTTGATGACAGAGATCATCTTCGACCCTTTTAATGTATTGCAGAGAATCCACCAAAAAAGGACCAAATTAAACACTATAACCCAACTTGTTGTTTCACTTTAATAATATGATCCACAAGAATGTGTCCTTTACATATCCATGTGCAGACACCTGCGCCCCACGTGCGATATGCGTCGCCCTTTCAACATATTTTCTCTTCAACTTTGACAGTTTTTGTCCAAAAAAAAAAAACAGAAAAATTCATGGAAATACCAAAAGAATGAAAAGATTCTCACTTCATGGATATATTATTATTCAATTTGTGAGACAAGTTTGAAGAATATTATAGCTATAAAGCACGGAGTGGCTTAGTCGTCTAAAAAAACGTTAAAATGCGTACAACTCAACAGTAATTGACATGTACTCATTCTTCTAAGCTCGGAGGTTCAATCGTTGATAAAGTTTGATGCTTTAGAGGGAATGAGCTTAAGGGTCACGTACCTAGAATTTAGTACTTATATGTCGAAGGTCATGGATGACACTATCTCCATTGGTAAGAGACGTTTTAGGGAAACTAAAATTATAGTCATGAGAGGTTATGTGTTTTGTAACAGCCTAACCACACCATTAACAGATTGTAACTGTCCAGGCTCACTGCTAGTACATATTGTCCTCTTTGAGCTTTCCCATCGGCAAGAGAGAGGTTTTCACACCTTTATAAAAGGTGTTTCATTTTTCTCCTATCCAATGCGGGATATCACATAGATACTGTCCACTTTAGTTCATTATGTATCGCCATTAGCCTCACAGTTGTAAAACATGTTTGTTAGAGAGAGATTTTCACACAACTTACAATGAAAGATTCGTTCCCGTCTCCAACCGATGTGAAATCTCACATTCACTCCCTTCGAGGCACAATGTCTTCGCTGACACTCGTTCTCCTTTCCAATCGATGTGAAATCTCACATGTTTAAAGTAGATAATATCGTACCAACGTGGAGAGTCAACTTTAGCATTGGTTGTGTAAGTACGTGAATGTATCACGTGTAAAGGTCTTGTTTTTGGGTTATGAAAATAAGAAATCCAGAGTCAACCGTTGGATAGCCTACCCTCGTTCTCTTCACTAAAGCTGCTTCATTATCAAACTATATAAATAAATAAATAAATTTAAAAAAAAAAACATTGATTTCAATGCCACTCCTTTTTCCCATGTTCTGGGGTATTGACACGTGTCCCAACCAAATTTTCCCCAACATTTTCTTAAATTTTTAGATGACAAATTGCTAAACAAATTATTACAATTATGTGCCTTTAAATAAGTAAAATTATTGCCATTTCAATATTGTATGGGTTATTATTACTTAATAAGTTATACTTTTATTATTATTCGAGCTCACTTATATTTATATATATATATATGTCTGTCCTTACTTTACATTTTATTAAATTATGAAATAAAATTAATTGATTAGACATTTTTTTTAAGTCATCGTCACATCCATTTTCTAAATATAATATTATAATTTTTGAAAGAAAATATTTTTTTAAAAAACTATTTACAAAATATATATATATATATTTAATAATTTAGCACTAAAAAAAAACCCTAGAGAGGAGTCAAACATAGAAGGCCCTGGAATGAGTCACAGCAGAGGCAGCTGGATCATGTGCTTCCATGATCACCACACACCCAACTAGCTAAGCCCATCTTCACCATTAAAATAACCCCAATGAGAACCAAGATATGTTTTTTTTTTTCACCCACTTGTTATTTTATTTATTAAAAAATTAAAATTAAAAAATTAAAAAAGACAAGGGTTTCTTTACTTTGCCATAATAAGAAGCCCCTTTTGATGGTGTCTTTTAGTGCAAATCTAGAAGCCCAAATATTCCTTTGTCCTAATCCTTTATTTATTTTAATTATTTTTAATTCTTGGAGATTAACATCATTTGGAAAGTGGGGTAATTAATATTCATATCTTAAAATTTCAAGTATGGAAGTAAATTTTTAATTATATCCATTATATATTGTTAACTATAACAATAACTTAAATATTTTTTCCTTTTTTAAAATAAAAAAAAAGTAAATATTGGATAAAATTTTATTTTTTATCCTCCCTTTTTTATTGCATATACCATTTTGTTGGTAGGTGAATGATGAAATATTACTTTGTATTTATGTATTAAAAAGGAAATTTGCTCAAAAAAGGAAACAACTTAGGAAGGAAAAATACCGGAACGTTTATTATGAAGATGTGAAAATCTATTATTAGGAGACGTGTTTTAAAAGTTCAAATAGGACAATATCTATCGGTGGACTTGAGCTATTACAAATGGTATTAAAACCAGTCACTACGTGATTGTGACATCTTGCATGGGTTGGCGAGAGGAATGAAATATTCCTTATAAGGGTGTTGAAACCTCTCCCAAGAAGACGCCAGTGAAGACATTGGCCCCTAGGGGTGGATTGGGTGTAGAAACCCCTTCCAAGAAGACACCAGTGAGGGGGTTGGCTTCGAGAGGTGGATTGGGTGCAAAAACCCATCTAAAAAATATACGATTGAAATGTGATGGCGCAAAAACAGGGAACAAACTAGGTGGTGGTGTTATAGAAACAAGGAAATGAGGCACCAAGTGCCAAAACCCCTACCTGTCAGAAATGCCTTGTAAAATTATATCTTCTTTTGTTCACTCCCAGGAAGCTGCCTCTTCTTTCAAAACCTCACTAACCCAGATAACAAAATTGCTTCTTTTGTACGTTCAGTAAACGACAATATCAGTCACAAACACAGACTTGCTTCAAATGGGGTTATCAACTGGCCACTGGAACAGCTTGCATCTGTTTGATGAAATGCCTGTAAGAAAATGACCTCTTCAATATCTTTAAATTGCTCTTTTCAGTCATTGTCTTGACCAGTTGTGACTCCAAAATGGCGAATTTTTGCACTCAAGTTGCCCATTCTTTTGGTTCATGGGATGCCTTTCGGTGGTGGTAG